GGCGACGGGGGAAAGAGGAGCTCATCGTCGGCGTGTATGTGGATGACTTAATCGTCACCGACGCGCGCACGGAGGATATCAATAGCTTCAAGCGTGAGATGGCAGCTCGTTTTCGAATGAGCGATCTCGGCGCACTCTCCTACTACCTCGGCATCGAGGTGAGACAGGGGAAAGAGGAACTCACGCTTGATCAGAGCGTGTATGCCTCCAAGCTATTGGAGAGGAGCTGCATGGCTGAGTGCAAGCCATGCGTAACTTCGATGGAGGAGCGGCTGAAGCTGATGAAGGCCAGCACCGTGGCGAAGGTGGATGCGACACTCTACCAGAGCATCACCGGCGGTCTGCGCTACCTAGTCCACACGAGGCCAGATATTGCGTTCGCCGTGGGCTATGTCAGTCGCTTCATGAAGGATCCTAGAGAGGATCACTGGGCTGCGGTGAAGCGGCTACTACGCTACGTCAAGGAGACGGTAGATCATGGGATCATCTTCCCAAAGACTGGCGAGAGTAGGCTGCAGCTCACTGTGTTCAGCGATACAGACATGGCAGGGGACATCGATGCCGCTATCTACGTGCGAGGTAGAGTACGTAGCGGCAGCCACAGCAGCGTGCCAAGTTGTGTGGCTTCGCCGGCTGCTGGGCGAGCTGACCGGCGTGGAAGCTCACCCACCAGCACTGATGGTAGACAACCAGCCCGTCATCGCCCTCGCGAAGAATCCGGTTCTGCACGACCGGAGTAAACACATCGACGTGAAGTTCCACTTCCTCAGGGACTGTGTCAATGAAGGGCAGATCGTCATCGAGTTCGTCGAAACTGGTCGGCAACTCGCGGATGTCCTCACAAAGCCGCTCGGACGTCTTCGACTCACGGAGCTGAAAGAGATGATCGGCATGGAGGGGGTACAAGGGTTAGCAGTAGGATTAGAAAAATATTGTTAGATAATCTATTGCTACCATGTGTGAACACAGCAAGGGAAGACGGCGCCGAAAAGGTCCCCTGCTGTGATACTGTAACCGCTGCAGGTGCAGGCGCCACACAGCTCACCTGCAGCACTGTAGGCACATGTAGTGGCCGGCGCAGAGTCAGCCCTGTATGTTATCTAGTTACTGTTACAGCATGTGCGTTGTATTAGGACTAGATGGATAGAGTTATATAAATAGACTACCACGACAACTCAGAAAAAAGAGTTCAGATTTGCCATCTCTCAGACAGGACTTCGACCAACACGGGTGTCTTGTACTGTGTGTGCATGCTCTATTCTCCCTTCTTCTTCTAGCTCTAGCCATAGTGTGTGGGGACAGACAACGCTTGTTTGTAGTCGGTATGGCTAGTGGGTGCTCGGCAATACTAGCGGGTGCTCGGCAAGACTGGTGAGTGGTTCACTCACATGAGCCGGTGATCCTGTGGGCCAACAAATTATTCAATAGAAAAATTCAATGCTATGAACGAAATACACCAAGACATTTTCTTCAATTTCATTAAAAAAGATACATTTTGCTTAAGCACGAGTATGTTTTTCCAAATTATATTGCTTGTACATGCACCTTATAGATAGATTCTATGATTTACCAAAAGATCAAGCAACCTGTTACAAAGTAGCACGAAAACCATATAGCAAATAAAATTTGTCCTCACAAATATGCATGCCAACATGACTAAATAAATTTAACTAATCATCACGCAAGAGGAGACGATCTAGCTATTGCATACACGGGAAAAAAAAGGAGTACGGGCGAGGGCAAACGAGGAACGCGGTGGATCGGGGTCGAGGAGCCTGACGTCGCTCTTGGAGTCGCTCTCGGGGTCGGGGTCGGGGTCGGAGTCGGAGTCGATGTTGACAACACCGTCCACCACAGCGAGTCTCAACTCACCACCACTCTTCTCCTCCTTCACGGCGAGCACCTCGAACGGACCGGCGGACCGCTCGGGCACGTCCTGCTTCTCGCACGGATCCACTCGGCGTGCCCCGACTTGCGGCGGCCGGCGCTCATGCTCGCGCCGCCGGAGCTCCATTCGCACTCGGTAGGGTTCGGGGAAGCGAGCTTCTGTTCAGGGCGACTCGGCGAGAGCCGAGAGATAGAGCAGTGTGCTGGGCTGCTGGTTGCTGGGGTCTTTATGACGGATGCGACGGCGTTTGGCCACGCTAGAGAGAGAGAGAGAGAGAGAGAGAGGCGGCGCCATCTCGTGGGTTGGGCACCCAACCGGTGGAGGCGGTGCGGCAGTCGAGGGGGCCGTGAACAGTTCCCAAAGTTGTTTGAAATTCAGATTCTCACTCCTCTTCGTTTACCCCTCATTAATCACTGTAACTAAATTAGTCACGATCTAAACTCTTCCAAATTCTACAATTGTGGAGTACAGTATTGCGCAAGACGAGTTATTTCATTTTCTTAAAAAAGTAAGCATGATCCGAAGTGGTAGGTTTTTTTTTCTGGAGGATCTGAATTCTTGATTATGCTAAATCGGCTGATCAAGCACTCCGGGTGGCACCCTTAGTGTCTGGGTTCGATCCCTCACGGGGCGGATTGCAGTGCCGATAAAAAAGACCCTCACAAGTTTGAGATACTGGCCCACTCACGGGTAACGTGCCTCTGTGTACTGGCGAACAAGGTTCGGATTCGGGGTTTTTTTTTGGACTGGGCAAGGAGTCATCTACCTTAATGCGAAATGCTCGCGCAGTCTAAGTTTTTTTTAATAAGGAGACAGGTGGTATAGAATTTGATTTGTTTAATTTCAATATAGAAGTAAGTGAAATTAGGCATTGTAATTAAATGACTAACTCCCGTTTAATTCAAACTTAGCAAATACGATTTTTTTTGTGTTTGCTAGTTCCACTAATCTACTGATTTCAAACTTAAGACATCAAGCTTATTTCTAGTTAGATCGGACCATTCGCGAAAAAAAATGGACTATGTTACAGTCTTTCGTCATCACGTGTGGATTATTGGTTTTCAACTGCTGAAAACCTAGATGAAAACACCGAATGAATGAAAAAAGGGATGAATTAGTAGACTAAAAATTTAGAAACCAATCTGGTAAGGTTAATACCTACTACTAATAAGATCATACTACGAGCATCCCAAACTTGTCCTTGTAATGTTCTTCGGTGATGACTTATTTTCTTGAAGTTCTTGTTATTGCAAACTATGGCCCTGATCGCTTGAGCTACTTTTCAGCCATGAAATAGTATTTTTCTCTCACAATATTTCAATATAAGCATCAGCATATAGTTTTACATGATAAGTGATGCCATTTGACATATCCAGTAGTGAATTAAGGTCCTATTTGGCAAGGGTCTCGCTCTACTTCTGGTGGAGTAGCTTCTTTGGTGGAGATAAAGTCATTTTGAAAAATGTTAGGTAAAAACGATTTTAGTGGTAGTTTTCTAATAATTTGTATCAAGTCTATGATTAGGAGATTAGAGAGGTTACTTTTTTCCGGTTCGAGGTCCTTGTATTAATAAAAAAAAATATGGCTCCTGCTCCTCAGGTTCTTTGCAAAGAATCATCTTTTAGATGACCGTTTGACGGAGCTTCTTACAAGGAGCTGCAAAAAATTGGAGCCAGAGCTCTGCCAAAGAAGATTTAAATGTTGTTGCATCCTAAAATGTTGTTGCGGAGTTGAGGATTGGGGGAATTATGAGGGAGATATATATGAACACAAATGTGGACACTGTTAACACATCTAGAGTTCAAGGAAGAATTAGTGTTGGGGGTGGGGGGGGGTAATGCATGATCCTCCATAGAAATTCATTTGATCTGGGACAATTTTTGAGCTAGATGGTCGTAGCTATTAATAATCAAAATATATTATGCGCAAAAAATAATCAAAATATATAAAGCTAGTTGCGGTTTACATATTTTGATTAAGAAGAATGGAACTCAAATTAGCGGGACTATCTCCAACAAGTGATCTATATGGGCACCAAAACCTAAAATTGATAGTGAGAGACCTAAAATCGACGTCCAACAAAGTATCTATACGGGAGACCCATTTTAGGTTGCTGAGAGCCAAACTTCCCAGACGGGTGTGACGGTCCCCTAGCGCGCCCCCTCGCCGATTCACTGGAGCCTCGCCAACTCTGCCTGGAACATGTCAAGGTGATCGTCCGTGACGCACCACGCCACCACGTTCATGCCGTCCCCTCTCGTCCTTGAACACAATAGGCACGTATAGCAGAATGGATTCATAGTCAGCTCCATGTTGGGAATCACACCCTCACCGGCAGGGACAGATCTAGCGGTGGGGCAGGGGGCTGAAGCCCCCTACCACTGTTGAGACTGTGGACGGATCTAGCCTTATGGTCTCGGCCGGCTCATGCACGCAGCGTTGCTCGAAGATGAAGAACACTATAAATGATAATCCAAGCTGACACTCCTCGATTAAGGTCGGGCGGATGGTCACCATACGCGGAGGTTACCACGAAGCTCATCTTGGAAGACGAATAGAAAGACTAGAGGATGGATCTTTTGGACCGGAAGATAACTGGAACCCGGTTGGGCTATGTGTCATATATGTCTTATCCCATCTTCCTTATATAGAGTGGAAGCAGTTGCCTACAGATGCAATTCGACCTCACGACTCACCAAGGGAAAAGTTCAGGTGACTGTCAAATCACTTGACATCTCAAATCTACCTTCCTTTTTGGCTGATTAATGTGGTAATGCTCAGGGATGGATCTAGCAGTGGGGCAGGGGGGCTCAAGCCCCCCCTACTGCTGTTGAGACTGTGGAGCCCCCCGAGCCCTTTTCACCGTAGTTTGGTCTGAAGGAGGGGCTTTGAAGCTCCGTCGCAAGGTTGAAGACGCTCCGACGTGACTTTGGGCTTTTTCTTCTCTAGTTCCTTCTTTCCAACCTTCCCAACATGTTGGTAATAAGGCCCAATGGCCCAATCTCCCAGACTCGCACCAGCCCACACAAACATGCAGTAACAGCAGTAGCCAGCATTCTCGGCCTTTCCTCCCGAGTCCCCCCAAGTCCCAACCCTATCCCTACTCGTGGCCATGAGGGGAGCGGACCTGCGAAGCCACGGAGACGGTGGCTCGGGACTTGGGTCCTCGGGAGACCAGAGATGGGAGCAGATAGTGTGGCGCGGGAGGGACTGGCACTCCTGCAGCAGCGCCTTGGCAACCGGCAGGCATCGCAGCCTCGCTCTCACATGGTGTGGGCAGTGGGACGGCGGCTGGCCGGGGCGTGGCGAGGCGTGGGCAGCTGCGGGCAGCCAGCACGGTGAGCGGCAGGAGCCAGTTGGCCTGGGGGCATCGACTGTCGAGGACGACTGGGGTCTGGGGCTGCCACATGCTAGCAGGCAGTGCAGGACTTAACTAATCGAGATTCAGGATAGGTATACAAATTGTCTGAATTGCTATTTATGAATTGTGATTGATAAAAGTTGTTATCTGTGATTTAGTGAGTTATTTGCTTAATTGTTTTGAACATTAGAATGGCAAAATTTAGTCACTGAATGACAATCCAGGAAATCGCAAACAATTCAAGATTATGCACCTAAACGGTTTCAACTAATGAAAAAACTGCGTATGTTAGTGCCTAAAAATTTAGTGGTATGGAACATCCTCTTCTAATTTTAGAATTTTGAAATTTATTCGTATTTGTGGGACTAACTTACCGTTTCTTTTGTATATATTGTTCTTCGCAACGAGTAATAGGCGTCATTGTCACGTGTCATCTATTGGTTTGGGACTTTGTCCTTTGGGTATGGATAAATTTCAGCTTATCTTTGTCATGATTAATTTTTAATTTTTCATTGAGGTTTCAATTAAAACTAATATAAACTACTATACTTGTTTTATATGGAGGCATGTTAGACTTAGTGGCTTGTCGTCCTTTGCTCGGTCCCCCTTATATTTTTCTTGGATCCGTAACCGGTAACGCTGAGATATCAGCTCAGGAGTATATACAAAGATCTCACTATAGATAATCTTGAGTGGAGCCATGCGTATTCAGAACCTTTCACAATGCTGATCTACGCTCTCACCGTCCTCTCTTCTTCATGAGACAATTCACTGTTGCCAATAAAAAAGATTGTAATACCCTGTGTGTCTCTAAAAAAGTTTAAGGGTCTTCAGCGTCACTACTCCAACTTTTTCGTGTCTTCCATGCCACTTCCGTCAGTTTGGCCTCTAACGCCGTCAAACTGTATGTATGAAAAGACGAAAATATCCTTAAATCTAAATATGTTATTAATTTTTTTGAGCATCTTAACGACTTTAAATGAAAAAACTCAAAACTAGAAAGTTGTAGATCTCGTCGAGATCTATAATTTTCATATAAAAATTATTTTCATTTAATTCCGTAAAAAAATATGATTTTTCTAAAATATATTAATCATATCGAATCATTTTTTTACGGAATTAAATGAAAATAAATTTTATATGAAAATTACAGATCTCGACGAGATCTACAACTTTCTAATTTTGAGTTTTTTCATTTGAAGTCGTTAAGATGCTCAAAAAAATTAATAATATATTTAGACTTAAGGGTATTTTTATCTTTTCACATCTGTAGTTTGACGGCGTTAGAGCTCAAACTGATGGAAGTGGCATGAAGGACATGAAAAAGTTAAGTAGTGGAGCTGAAGACCGCTAAACTTTTATAGAGGTATAGGATATTGCAATTTTTTTTTAATGGCACGTAGGGAATTCCCTCCGCTTGCTGCACTCCGCCCGCTTCTCCCCCAAAGACCAAAACCCTAGACCCCCTCTGGCCTTCCCTCCCTCCAAACACCGAGCTGCCGCCGGCTCCCGCGTATGGGTGGATCGCGGCGCAAATTGAAGCGCTCCCGCTCCAAGGTCCGCGTGGGGCTCCCCCGCCGGAAACCCAACGAATTCAAGCCGGCCTTCGAACTCCCCGAGGCGCTCGCCGCCGCCGCCGGGGGCGGGGCGGGCTGGGACGCCGAGGGCAGCGTGGTGAAGAACTACGCCGCGTTCGGGGTGGTGGCCAACCCAAACCTACTCGGCGCGCACGCCCGCGGCACGCCGCGGCTCGTCCAGAGCGCGTCGCTGCAGGCGCCCGACGTCGCCGCCGCGCGAGCGCTCGTCCCGGAGTTCGAGCCCATCGACACCGGCAGCGACCTCGAGAACGACGGTCGGCCCCTTAAACTCGGCTCCGCTCTGCTCCTTTTGGTGGTCCTTGTTGGGAACTCCTGGAACTGAGTTGCCATAGATGAGTGCAAGATTTGGTGTGGTTCGCATGTTCCGCAAAGCTCTGGATTATCAGGGTACAGGATAGGTTAAACTGAATAAGGATGTGTCTCGTTCAATTACATTGATTGGGATTCTTAGAAGCCGTGGTTATTAGCTCTAGTGAATTCACTATTCTCAGAGATTGATCAAACAAAAGCCTTGGATCTAATTCTTATCATTAGCTATTGTGTTAGATAGTAGTATAACATTTGATGAAGTCTGTCTTCAACTGTATTTTCTCTGAAGTCTGAATTGTGAATGGTTGCTTTGAAGTGCCAAATATTATGAAACGCACTCTGAATCCAGGAAACGAGGCAGGATAAAAAAAATCTGATTTCTTGTACACTTTAATCTAGGAAGAGAGCACATGATGGTTTAGTCTTCACAGAATAGAATAGCATATTTTTTAAAACAAAAACATTTGCCTAGAAGATAAAACAGTGATTAATGAGTATAGAATGCAGCTGTTCTACTAAAAAAATTATAAAGTGCACATGGTTTTGCTTAACATAGTGTTAGATAAATGATCTGTCATGGCTACCTGAAGTTATAATGAGTTCCGCCAGTTTTAGCATCTGATCTTGAAAAAGAAATCAATTTGCTAAAAGTGCTCCGCATCGAACTCAAAACTCAATTTGAATGGTTTCATGCCAATTGAAGGCTATCTGAATCTGTTTCAATTGGCTGTCTGCACTAGTCTTGTGTATTGCCATGATGATGCATAGTTTAAACTTTAAAGAGTAAAAGATTGTGGTCTTGTGGGGAAAAAAATTGTTTGCTATACACCAGGTAACAAGTTTGTTCCATCCAGCATGAGCTGTGATATATTTCAGCAAATGCGTGATGGATCGAAATTGAATTTTAAGCTTGTTCTTGGCACGTTATATAAGGTAGCAATATATCATTTAGAGGCTTATTTTGTATAGTTCCATGTGTCCTTTCCTTTCGGTTGCAGTTTAGAAGGAACAGCTTGGTATGTTGTGTTTGGCATCATTCTCAAGATATGCTAGATATGAGAATATCGTTCCTATTTGTTTTCTTAATTCATAGATTCCACAGAAACTTCTATGATCTTATATGTGAGCATTGCACTTGTTTTTTTGTATCTAATGCAAATGTTTTAAATGTAATGTAGACCTGAAATCTGCTCTTGGGAAGAAAAGGAAGGATGGCAAATCTGCACCGTTGCAACCACTTACTAAAGTTCAACGTGTTTGCATTGGCAGATTAATAGACAAGTACGGTGATGACTACAAGGTATAGTTGAATATTGAGACATCATTAATCAGAGCTAATAGTTTACAGGGACTTCAGTTGTGTGATTGTGGACTGAAAAACCAATCATGCTTGCAGGCCATGTTCATGGATACCAAGCTGAACGCGATGCAGCACTCTGTGGGTACGTTGAAGCAGCTATGCGAAAGATACCATGTTGATGGCAAGATCTTCGTCTATCCACTGTAGTATTGTGTCGGTGCCTACTTAAGTCTCACAGTGTACTCTGTTCCTCCCACTAATGGAACAAGAACAATTTTGTCAATGAAGGTACTTGCGGATGACCTTTGGTGTAACAATGAGTTTTACTTGTTGGAAAACTATGTGTTGTGAGCAGTGCCATGTGCCCTTGAGCCCAAGTGGAAGTCGCAATTTAGAAATATTGTGTACTTGGGCTTGGTATGTTGTGTTTGGTCGGGTTTGTCGCAGTTGTTTACTGTTCTTTTGTCAAGTGAATTATGCATAAAACATGCAGTCGTTTAAGCAAAAGGACACAATGAGAGCTCAGTTTGGTGTTCGTATTGTATCGATTGCATGACCGTAGTAAGGCCAATATCTTACACCCCTATTCGGGGAAAAAAAACCTTACAAGGGAAAACGTCAGAATCGAACAAGCAGAACAGGACAGAGGTGTTCATCGATGAGAAGCTGCCTCCGTTCAATCATTCTCGCGTGGGTTCCGAGACAATGACGGCAGCTTTAAGTCTTATGTCTGTTTGGCACAGCTAAGCTTCGCTAGTAAATTTTTTTTTTTTGAAAAACAGTTTTATGAGCAATTTTATAGGTGAAGTTGAGCTGTTTTGGAAAAATTATTTGGCAAAACAGCTTCATGCATGGATGGGAGAGAAATGAGGGAGAGATCTAGGATAAGGTGTTTTTTTAGCTTCATCCCAACTCATGTCTTTGTGAGAGGGGAAGAAAAACAGCTTCATGTGTGAAGTTATTTTAGAAATAAGTGTGGTAAATAAAACAACTCACAACAGTTCATGAAGCTATTATGAGCTATGCCAAACAGAACCCTTAATGTTGCCAGCAGAATCCATATCTGCCGTTAATCTTGGATATTCCAAAGTCCTTGTTGTCTCGAAAATGTCAAAGGTAATTGCATAATAGATTCATCACAGCAATAAGCGGTTGAACAAAGCTAGTGTGCGGGTCGGTAATGCTATGGACCATGTTTGGGACAAATCAAAAACTCGTGACACAATAAGGTCCGACATGCCTTGACACGACTCGGAGCGGTATGGAGCATTAGAGAGCCAAGCCGAGCGCATGGCCTAACTCCCTCTTGTTGCGATTACATTGGCAAGGAGTGGTTTTCTAAGGGACAACCAATTTTCAGATATTTTTAAATGCTGAAAATATAATACTCTTAGAGCATCTCCAAGAGCTTGCAAAAACGTACTCACAATCTTGATTTTTAGTAAGATTGAAAATCGATCTTATCATCCGGAAATATATGTGCGCATATCAATCGGCCAATACGGAGGTGGAAGGATGTGAGAAACAATAAGTGTAAAAGCAGGGTTCCCAAATATAAGTGACAAAGAAAGTTTAAAAGAGGTTCGGTGATTTTAGAATAGTCCAGAATGCAAAAACCAAATTTTGGAAATGGTTGGACCTCTTATACCTTGTCAATTGACTTGTGTCATGACATTTGAAATACACTTGCTGAGTTCCTGGCATACCAAGGATGGTCTCACTTAATTGCAACACTCGATTTTTCTTATAAGACTAGGTAGCGTCTCCGTGCGTTGCTACGGGATAACTAACAATTTATACTAAAAACACACGGATCGCACGATAAGATAACAATACTATTAAATTAAATATCAACGTTAAAGTGACATTTAATCCAAAACGCAAAGTTTATGAATTTAACACAGTCACGGAGTGCGCGGCGTCGCAGACTCAGAAACTCTAGAGCTTCCAGAGATTGGGTCGAATCCAACATAGAGCCTCAGAACCCTGCATGTTTTCCTAGACGGGCTTCACTTTGGATGTGCCAGTAGCAATATCAACGATATCCAGTCGATGGACCAAGTCGTATGGATCCCCATACACTGGCTCAGACATGTAGATTTTGTTCTCCTTGTACTTGGATACATTTGTTTCACTGAAGCTTTCATTGTAATGTATAGACACGAACAGTGTCTGATCACCCGATGTCCCTCACCCTGGACTACTCCGGCGCACGGTCGTGGAGGTTGCACTTATAGATCGCGCTGCTGTAGGTGAAGCTCTGTGTCTCGTGGAACGTGCTCACTATGGCACCCACAATGTGCAGCTCATCGTTTGATTCCAGGTAGCTGCGGTGGCAGAGCCCCGCAGATGGCGACAGCGATGGCAGCAGCGTCACGGTTGGAGTAGCGCCGGCGGCGTTGCTGCTGCAGACAGAGATTTCTCCAGTGCAGTCGATTGCCAAGAACTTGTCTTGGCAGTGGACGATGGACCCCACGGAGAACTCTAGTTTGGTGTCGAGCAGCGTCCATGCGCTGTCGACTCCAACCCGGCAGAACGCGACCTCCGTGGAGCACCAAGCATGGCCATAGCCACGCACTGGCGGCCGGCGGCGTTAGGCGGCGCCGAGAGCACGATCTCACAAACGAACACGTCCCTCATGTCTTCTAGCTAGATGGTTCTGTCTGCAGTATCCGCGTCCCCGTAGCTGTTGGTGGGATGGAGGACCCACCGCCCGTGGACCCTAGACACACGTTCCGATGAGGACGCCGCCGCGATGTGTTCGCCTGTTGGCAGGAGCTCAACGTGGGGGGCACGGGCACCGGCGAATGGATTCAGCAACATCACGGACGCCGCCTCATCCATGAGCGCCAGCCACCCACACGAGGAGCCGCACGCCACCTTACCGCGCACATTGGGCAGCGTCTTGGACAAGACCTTCTCCGGAACGCAGTAGAAGCCGACGTGGTCCGAGTCGGGGTCGAACAGGAGCAGCAGGAGCAGCCCGAAGGTCACGAATGGGATGGCGGCGCGCCATGGGGAGCAAGAGGATCGGAAGGATGCCGCGTCATGGTCTGACGCGAGACGGACTCGAGGAGATCCTCTGGCAGGCCGGATCTCCAGTCAGGAAGAGGTAGGGACCTTCTCTTAGGATTGCGAGACTGAATCATGGAAGACAGATGACATCAACTATGGTTTACACAAGAAACAGCAAGCGGGGGCGATGGAACACGTGAGCGTGAAACCAAATGAAAGGAGAAAAAAACTGTCCCTTTTGCAAATGCAAAGAGGAGAAGTAATTAAATGTAGGTAGATTTGGCAAGGTTCTCAGAAATGCAAAGATGTTCCTCTTGTCTTAATTCTCTTTCCTTCTGTGTTAATTCTCTTTACTTTTACTCGTTGCCATGTATGCTGGTGCATGCAAACATGCAATGTGTATATGGATAGCACAATAATTTTCTACTTCCTATTTTGCCGTGATTCCTCTATCACATGATATGCAATATTCAATCAAGGAGAATGACACGATCAATCAGTAATTAAGATATCGTGGGATCGCAGGCGTGGGACGGACGAACCAAAACAAATATCGCACCAAAAAGTGTCTACAATTTGTTCTTTTTAGTTGTAGGAGATTTTCAATAGTAAGAAATCCAATGATTTGTAAGAGTTGACAAGTGTCTCATGACAACTGTTCCTATGGTGCATATATGCTGCAGCTAAAGGGGTGTACCTATTGTAACGTCCCACCTCTCCGAGGCTGGGCCCGCTTATATCTGACAGCTTAACTAGGATATAGACTGCCCTCACAGATCAATACAGGTCTTTTCTGCGCACTTTGTCCTCACTCGTACGCACCCGGGAAGAACTTCCCGGTCGGTCACCCATCGTTCCAGGCCAAGCACGCTTAACCTCGGAGTTATTTGCAGATGGGCTTCCGGAAAAGAAGTTGCAACTTATTGGTATGAGTATCCTATTAATCCTATTAAGCCCTGAGCCAGGGTGTTACATCCTCACCCCCTTAAGAGATCGACGTCCTCGTCGATCAATCCCAAGCCAGGAACGTCCCCTCTTAGCCCTGAGCTAGGGTGTTACATCCTCACCCCCTTAAGAGATCGACGTCCTCGTCGATCAATCCCAAGCCAGGAACGTCCCCTCTTAGCCACGTCCGTGTGTCCAGTGCCAGCGCATGTGCCATGCTGTGTGACCACGCCGGATCCACACCAGCCATGCACACCATGCCTGCGCAACTACGACACACGCGCCCGTGAAACCGCGAGAGTCGTCTCTGATACCATTCTGTAACGTCCCACCTCTCCGAGGCTGGGCCCGCTTACATCTGGCAGCTTAACTAGGATATAGACTGCCCTCACAGACCAATACAGGTCTTTTCTACGCACTTTGTCCTCACTCGTGCGCACCCGGGAAGAACTTCCCGGTCGGTCACCCATTGTTCCAGGCCAAGCACGCTTAACCTCGGAGTTATTTGCAGATGGGCTTCCGAAAAAGAAGTTGCAACTTATTGGTATGAGTATCCTATTAATCCTATTAAACCCTGAGCCAGGGTGTTACACCTATGGCTATGATTCATAAACACTGAATTCTGAGACTGACTAAATATAAGAAACTGTTGAAAAAGAATGGATAAGAAACATTCTTTTCCTCTGCTATATGTGCTGCTAGTAGACTCATTGTTCAGCATGTGAGCGTGCATCATTACTGATAACGTCCTCTATGTTTATTCCGATTTCACCCCTCAAGAACTTGCCGTACCACTGGGCAGAGAGTTTTGGCACTCTTGGCAGCTCCGGGTCCTGAAAATCAACATGATAGAGGCCGTATCGCGAAATGTAGCCTGCCAGCAGCTCAAATACATCCAGGAATGACCAAACGAAGTATCCCTTCACATTGGCTCCATTCCTGCAGGAAGCACAACATCCATCATTTTTTTTCCTTTTTTGCGAATACATCAATTTTTGGGGGAAAATGTCTTATGCTTGGAGAAAATAATATTACTATCAACCTTTAATTTATTTATCCCATACCTGAGTGCAGCGAGTGCACTGCCAATGTAGCCACTCAAGAACTCCGTTCTCTCATGGTCATGAATGGAATCGTTGAAGAGCGACATATAGCCTAAATGTATGTAACGTTATGGAAGAGCAAATAGGAGTTAGTCGAATTGCAAAAGCCTTGACAAGATGTATTTTGCCTTGATACATGGAAAT